CATTATTTTAAGCACGTTTGAAACTATAAATTGGGCTAATAAAAGAGAGTACGAAAATTTCGTTTCAGTGGCACTTTAAGAGGCGTTCAAGTTTGTTCTAGGTTAGTGTACCAGCTTTCCAGAGTCAGTCGTTGAAAATAGTTTGTACTATAGGTTAAGCACTGAGCAGAGTCCCAGTCAATGTTGTGGCTATGACGGAAATTATCTGATTTTTCGAGCAAAACGCTAATGATTTGGGCAACGACAATTGAGAGAAAACACTACAAAATAATGCTGTTTACGTGATTTCCAAAACTCGTAAATAAAGTTTCTAGTTAGTTACCTTTTTTAGAATTTTTTCTTTTAATAAGTTTTAGATTTTACTCGGATTGAGACTGTTGATAGAGTATGACTGATTGATTACGTAAGCTTTGAACAGAACTATTTTTGGAATTATAGCAGTTTCATTAGATGTGGGAATTGGGAACATTTTTGTTTTTTATGCTATTTGAGTTCGTTTGCATCCCGATTTCAACACTCTTGCATTCGGGCATTACGTAAATTTTTCGGGCAAGAAGGTCACCGCCCGCCCAGGTCCGAAGGTGCCCGTACGCCTATGAATAAAAGTCCTAAAAATATTACAATATATGTGGTAAAAGATAAAAACTGTAATAAGTAGTAGCATATTTTTACCACAATAATCTGTTTCTAATGGTGAAATATTGGATTTATGGGCCATTATCAGTAACACCCTTAGGGACCATTCATTTTTATCGCCTGAGGGGGAGAGTGGGGGCTGGCAAGATTCATTACAAACAACAAAAAAAACGTTTTGAATCCCCTCTCAACAAAACAGAAATATTATGACCCCTACAGCACACTATGCGAAAGATACATGCCCCCACCGCCACCCTCCCCCCCCCCACCCCCACTCTCCCCCTTCTTGACACTTTAGGCAGTAGTATAAAGTACCACAGTTTTACTTTTAACACAAGAAATATATTCAATAAGTTATTTTAAAATAGCTAATTTAATAAAACAAACATAAATTTCTTTCTTTTCATTGTTCATCTCTTTCATTGCATTCTTCATTATCATCCACCACTTCTTTTCTTTCTTCGTCATCATCATCTTCTTCTTCAGAATTATCCCGGCCTTCTTCTTCACTACGTCCTTCCTCTTCATAGCAGTTTGCCTCTAATTCAAATATTCGGTGAGCTTTGCAAGTTCACACTTCCTCGCTTCTGGATACCAATTTCCCTTGTTTATGAGGCTTGCTAATCCAGCTTTGCGCCTGTCTGCTCTAAATTTGTCTAGTTCATTTAACTGAAGCATTCTTACCTTCCGTGACACATATTATGAAAGGGTTGAGCTGCACATGGAAGATCTGAAAGGTGATTGTACTTAAAACAACCAACGATAGGCAACCCTGTACAGAGTGCAAATCAAATGAATGGATAAGTCCACCAATGAATCGCATTTCAACCATTGGCAGACGAAACAAAATTACCACACTACCATTACAAAGACGTGTTTGAGTCTCCCAGTGATACGGATGTCTGCCATCGCTCTCCTGATAACTGTCCCGATCAGCCACGTCATAATATCAAAAAATGTTTTGACGATGGAACTTTAAAACTAGATGATAACGATGCAATCTCCTCTTTTTCTACAGAATTTAATGTGCAAAAAAAACTAATTAAAGACCATTTACAGCATCTGACTACATTTGAGAGGAAAACACCTGCGTACAAGGGACAGGTTGGAGAAACACAAGTAGAGACAACAGAAATGCTTCGAGGACTATGACTGGAACACTCTTTGTCGCACTGAAGTAAAGTTCGGCAAGTAAGTATTCAGGAGCTCGACAAGTATCTCAGTCATTCTAACCTTCAATTAAAGGTAAAGAGTAGGTGCGACGGGTCACTGCATATGCCTTGATCAGAATGGGTGAGGTACTTAACTTGATACCCATGTCTCTCTTCAGCGGTACGAAGTACAGCAAGATGATACCACTGGCAATGATGTGGACAGCCGTTTTGACGTGACACGGAAAGTGGAAGCGAAGATGACATCGTTATTTCGCGTTTTTGTAGCTCTTATTCATCGGAAAGCGAGAGTAATTCAAAGAAAACCAACATTGACAGATCTAGAGTACCTATTGTAGTAAAGGTCTCTGGACAAACCCGATCTGGGCGCAATATTGTGAAGTCGTTCTCTCACTATCGTGACTGTTTTTTATTAGTTGATCCAAGTAAGTGGACTGTTTGGAAGTGTTCACCAGTATGCTCTATATGATTAAATGAAATATATATCCCCCCCTCCTATGCATAATTCTTTAGTGACCCCCCTATTCATTTCTTAATTTCTTATGATCCCCCTCTTTTTTTGCCAGCCCCTTCCCCACCGCCCTCGCGTTTGGAATCATTATGGCGGAATTGTGCATGGAATAGTGACCGGTGAGTTCTAAATTGCGTGTGAATGATAAAATCACCTCATCTTGTAGGTAGGTAGGCATTCTTTATTTGTCCACGATATCCTGTGGGAGGCGCAGTGGCCTCATGGTTAGTGCGCTTGTCTCCGGATCGAGTGGTCTGGCTTCGAGCCCTTGCCGGGGACATTGTGTTGTGTTCTTGGGCAAAACACTTTACTCTCACAGTGCCTCTCTCCACCCAGGTGTATAAATGGGTACCGGTGAACTTAACGCTGGGGAGTAACTCTGCGATGGACTAACATCTCATCCAGGAGGAAGTAAAAATATTCGTAGTCGCTTCATGTTACAGAAACCGGGGTGAGCTCCAGCCCGATGAACCACTTGGCTTGTATGCAGACTTTACCTTACCTGTTGTTCGAAACCTGGCATCATTTAGCATCCATATGAATAAAAAAAAAAGAACACTTCAAGTTTGAAATGTCTGTGTTAACTGTGTTGTTTCGAGTTGTTCATATCTCTAAGCTTCGTCGTTGATAGTAATCACATTTAGCAGTTTTACATCTAGAGTCTCTCTTGATTAGCCTTCGCAGGTGCGGAGGTGTAAGAATAAATTCCCCTGTCTCAGACACTCTGTAGACCACTTTCCCCCCTCCCTTTTCTCGCTCAAACAATGGTCTTTATATTAAACTGGGAGTACATCTCTCTACTCCGTAGAGGCTCAAAGGGCTTTTCTGGGTGGGGAGAATCCGCTGTATGATATGAGTGCAGACGCAGGGATACGTGACGCGCGCCTGCATTTACTTCGCACAGCGGATTTATATAACGAACATCCGATCCTGGTTCGATCAAACCTCTGCGGAGGAGAGAGGGGAGGGGGCACATAGTAACATTTTCAGGGATGAATGCTGTATTAAAGTTCGCGAAAAGTTTGAGTTCTATGTCAGATATAAATGTTACTGAGATTTATTCAGAATTTATTCATTCATTCATTCATTCATTCATTCATTCATTCATTCATTTATTTATTTTTTCAAAATTGTGCGCTAAAATTTGTCGTCAAAAGAGGATTGGAACTGAGAAGGAGAATGTAAATGGAAAGGAAATAGTGCCTTCAGTTCCGTTCCAATCGATGAATTTTCGAAAAGAACTTCCTTAAATTATCGGAAGACTCGAAAGATCGTCAAGATCCCCTGCCAGTAACTTATGCCCACAATCCTTTGCAATCAAGATCGATCGGCATGCCGGGAATTTTGGGCGCCATTTTGATGTGTGGCTTCTGAGAGAAAGTGTGGGAACTGATGTTCTTCTGTTTTGTTTTCTTGTCGGCCGGATACGACGAAGCCTTGTGTTACGAGTGAATCAAATTACTCGTATATATCTTCGAATAAGAAAACTACTTTGGCCCAGCTGTTCGTCGCTATGAGTTGTGACGAGAGGAATAACAAACGACGAAAGAAGCGCTCGAAGCAGAGTTCTGAAACGAACTCTCACGTCGTTGATCCAAACTCAGTTGAAAATCGAGAGGTACGTAGTGACAAATAAGTGGAGAAAAGGCAGTTGTAGCAGGAAATTAACTGCAGGCAAGATCAGCTGAGTATTCAGCTGATGTGTGTCCGTTCCTAATGTTTTGATGGTTAAACTTGATTTCCGTTGAAAATGGAATGTTTGTTTTTCACTTAGACATCGGTCGTGCAAATTATGACATGAAGGTAGATTTCTTCTTTCGATCAATGTAAGCCCGTAACGTGCCAGTGTATCCTTTTATTTTTCGAAACGAAAACCTTGGTCGCCTCTCGATTTGACATGTACACAGTTCAATGCGAAGTGTAGTAGAGACTTGTATGACAAACTTTATCAGTAACTACAATGTAGCTACAAATTAGAATGAAGTAACAGATCCAACGAAAGCATTCTCTGGAATCCCTTGTTTAGTAGGCTGTTTAGAAGACTATTTATTTATTTCTCTGAAACAACCGAACCTTTTATTGATTTAATTTTGTCATGCTAACAGATATTTCAAGTTTAATGACCTACGTAATTAGGAATAACAATTTGTCGAAAACACGATTTCAAACGATCATGTAATGCTAGCACTGGTGCTCTGTGAATGCATAACCATTCAAGGTTTGAAATCGCTCCTCGTGTAAATTCGAAAAAGTTATATCCAGAACCACTGTAATTCCGTGACAGCCACCCTTAACGGATTTTATTCTGTAACAAAATTAAATCGCTTTTACGTCCATGACTTTACACGTACAAGTTGCAAGGTTGAATTAGGTTGAATTTTACAGAGATTGTTTACATCTTAAGAAGGAAGTTAAGGCTAATAATCACCAATAGGTCTTGGGGCATTCGTTGTGGCTTTACCCCATTGTCACAAAATGATTGCAAAATGATTGACTTCATTAATCTATTCTTTCACTTTTCTTATTTCCCTGTTGATTGTTTCTTAGATTATTCCATTTTAAATATTAGAAATTTGGATTGACTTTTGCTCATCTGCATTTGTTCCTAACATTTCAACAGGGAGAACAAAAGGTTCACACTTGTGTTGATGATGCTACATTGAAGCTGGTTAGTTTTGTTACTTAAACAAAATTATTTTTGACATCTCATGACTTTATCTTGTTAAACAAACTTCAAAATAGTCTTTGATTATGAAAAAAACAAATTGTTATACAATGCATGTCACCAATCAACTTACAGTATATAGTCAGGGATTTCATTAAAATTTTCAGCAGCAGGGCAACTGGTTTTCACAGGCAGGCAAAACTATGTGAACTGAACTTCTAACGTAAGATGGTCAAACCAGTTGGGCAAAATCATCCTCACACCCGGTCAGTTTGCCCAGTAAAAACCCCAGTACAATAGACTTAGATTTTAAAGGTCTCAAAACATTACATAAGGCTGGTCAAGCTCTGTGATCAATTCGTTAGGGAGGGAGGGTAAACACACCTGATCTGCGACTCTTATAACCATGGGAGCCTCAAGTAACCTTGTCTCTCTGTCGAAGTAAGTTGNCCCCCCCCCCATTGTGCAGCTTCTTTTACTCTATTTTGTTTACATCCATACTTATGTTGCTCATGTGACATTAGTACATCAACGAACTGAAGCCCTTGCTTTGTGTCTCATGTCCACTACTTGTACATGTATATTGTAGCATGATTTTTTTTGTTTTCACTTCACACTTCTCTGTAGAGAAATTATCAATTAACCCTCCCAAAAGTTAACCCAGTAAAAAGTCATGTGAATATATAGGCATTAACATGTAGGCCCCTGGCTTATATATAACCTTGGAAGAAACATGCTCTGATTACATTGGCCATGTACTACTTTGTTTCATGTATATCGTATTGCACTGAAATTCAAAAGCTGAAGCAAAAGTCACTGAAAACTTTCATTTACATGTACTGTAGTTTCATTCAAAGAGATTGTCAGAGTTTAGTTTGTTTATGCTAAAAATGATCTTATAGTACTCAACTAAAGAAAGAAACAGTCTACATGTTTCGAGTGTAGGCCACGTCAGCTTCTTTAAACAATTGTATTCCAGCTCTCCACATTTTTGTCTGAGAGCAAGCCAAGAGGCTCTTTGCCAGGGGTTTCAATAATAGCCGGGTAGCGGGTAGATCTACCCGCTTGCAATGAGCGGACTACCCGCTTGTAACCGTCCCGGGTAGTGGTACACAAATAACTAAGACCAGATAATTTCCTTGCAGCTAACGATTCTCATCACAAAATTTGGCAAAATAAGTCTTATGTTATAGGTAAAGAAAAAGAAAACTTTCTAGTGTTAACCCAGCCTTTTGGACCAAGAAAGGTGAAGAACACGTGAGAACAATCGCTTCAATATGAAGTGAAAAAATGTGCCAGGCACTTCGGCTGAAATTGAGAGAAAACTAGGACTAAGCATGAGTAATAATGGCTGCCTAAAGGCAATCAATATTGGCATATTTCGCTCCACCATCAAAACAAAAGAGCTCGAAGAATATTGATTCTTTGCAAGGTTAGCCGAGTATATTCAAAGGGACGCGTTTCGGTGTTTAAACTTAAATGTTATGCTTCTTTTCATGGTGAAATATGATGTATCGTTCATGAATCGATTTCATTACAAAGAATTAAAATACCTCATGTTATCTTGTCTTTCTAATTGATTGACTTCTAGGAACAACAAAGCAACATAAAGATGGCCTCAAAATGCAGGAAATGCATCTGCAAGAGTCTAGAATTTCAAAATTTGCGTAATAAAATTTGCATAATAATGCTATATTTTACAGTTTACTTCAAGATGGTTTTACATTCTCTACCAACAGCTCAAAGCTGAACTTGCACCTAAAGCTGGAACTCCATATATAGATAGTGAACGATGTCTTCTTTGTGAGAAAGAACGCTATGAGAGAAGCAAGAAAGGTTAGAATGCTGCCTCTCCTTGGTCTATTGTTTCACACTTATATATTACTTGTGCTAAGGTACAGGTAAACATAACCATTTTACTACATGTACAGTACATGTACATGTAAATGTAGGCTCATGTGGTGCTTGCATATAAGAATCAAAACTATCAACTTGAACCAAGACTGTTGTCCTCTCCTTAATCTATGGACTTTTCATGTCAGATACAATCCACACTTTTTTGATGTTTTTTCATTTACTGTCAGTGGCAGATCACAAAACTCTTCTTTGGTGATTTAATTTCAGGAGAACTGCTTAAATCCACAACTCAAGGATCCAATTCTAATGGATCTTCTGTGTCACAGGTAAGGTATCTTCTGGTTAGTGCTACAGAATCAGTATCCTAAATACCGTCACATCAGCTGGAGCATTCCTCTTAGCAATGATGAAATATATCAAACACGAAAGACGGTGTTTGACCAGATTTCCAAACAACGAGATGAGGATTGAAAATACAACACGCAGCGGAGTATTTTTCACGAAGTTCAATGTGTTTGGAAATGTGCTCAAACACTGTCTTGAGTGGTTGATATATCTTCTCAATCAAAACTAAAACTAAGGAGAAAACGGAGCAATAAAATCACAAAAGTCTATGCTAATTAAGATCAGATATCCAAACACTGTCACGGTCACGATTTCCTTTGTTTAAACAATGAATTATTAATTGATGAATTACTAATGAATTTGAGAAAGACTTACTGTATGATGATACATGTATACTCACTAACACTGGCCAATTTGTTTTCACTTTTTATCAAACTTCTGCTTTTGAAATAAAGAGTTCATTGTTTATCTTTTTTGCAGGAAATCGACTAATCTGATATTTATAACTTTTATCCTTGGCAGACTCCGCTGTGGGTTTGTCCAGACTGTAGAAGGAACATTGAAGAGGAAGAACGTAGGGCAGCAATGGAGCCTTCAATACCAGTAAGTTTACTGCAGATACACTGATACTTTCTCAGCAGATGACTTAGTTAGTACTCTGCAAATACTTCACTTTTGATTGAGCACAGATTGAACCCATGCATGTCAGAGTACCCCTGTTTTCATTATTATTAGAAATATTGTCAACATCCATGCATGGTGTGCTCATGGATGTACATGTACCTGCACGATTACAGTGTACATGGCTTTATAGTCTGCAATCAATCTCGAAGAAACGAAGTGAAGTTACATTAAAATGTACATTTACATTATTAGTCAGATAGACCATACATACCTATACACCAAACTGAATTATTCATAGTTAAATTATAATAAAAATTTGTTTCAGTGGTTGCAATCCCAGTAGACCACATGGCTAACAGGGCTCGACACTAACGGTAGCCAACTAGCTACAGACTAGTAGAAATTTAGTTTTGGCTTGTAGGGTTTCAATTTCCACCAGCCACTTTGACTAGTAAACAAAATGAAATTGGCCGAACTAGCTTATGTCTTCCTCAGGGAAGACAAACACAAACACTTTTCTCGGAAACAAAGTCAGAATTTTATTGTGGACATACCGTGTTCTGGCCATGTGCTGTCCAACAAGTATGCAAATTTAAGTTTGTCTTCATTTTGCTGTGCGGTACATTGTACCTAAACGGGTAACTGAACACGTTATTATGTTCAAAGAAACATTTGACAAACAATACAGCCTTTTCTAAAGCACACATCGATGTTCTTTTTGTTACAAAATAAATTAGTAGAACAAAACACGAACTTCCTGGTAAAATCATGCGCAAAATCGTGTGGAACTGTAAAGGGTTAACATTTCATTTAGCGTAACGACACATGCATGGGTGATTTGTTGTTGTATGCATACTGACAAAACTTACCACTACAGAGATAACTAGATGAGAAAGATCTACTCCTTCGACATTTAAATCAGTGGCTTTTAGCAGTCAAATTTCACCAACAGCAGTTTGCACTATTGTTCAGCTTTTGCTTTTGAAACATTTCTACAGTGCCAGTCTGTGAAGAAGTCTTGACAGTTGTTACAATAAAGTCTTGGGGTCTCAATATTTTTCCAAGGAAGTCTTAAAGAAAAACAGAGTCCTGAAAGTCTTTTCGGGAAAATCGCTGGATTTTTCTTTCTTTGTGATCTGTCAGCCTAAGAGATTTGATGTGACGAAACATCATGTATTAAAGTGAGTTGCTTGGGTTGAGCTTTTAAGTCTTGCTTGTAATTAATTTGTTGTTATTGGACCTAACCAACATCAACACTTGGTTAGTAAAAAAAAAAATTGGCTGGTAACATCTAAGTTGTCACTAGCCACTAGGCTAGCAAGTTGAAAAGTCAGTGTCGATCCCTGGCTAATTTGCATTTTTAATGAGATCATATTGTTAAAAACATTAAGGTGACTGTATAAGTGAGTCTTATTGGGCACAAATTGAAGAGTGTTTTACAGAAAAGATTTCAAAACACATGATTCACAAAATTATCTTTTTCGGTTGCCACATCAAGATGTGCACTCCAAGAAGCTTAACATTATAAGTGATGTGTTGAAGACTTCTTAACACTTACATGTACACTGTAGCTGGGAATGCTTTGTCATTTCTTTGCCAACTGTATGTTATGGTTGTTTCTTGGTATCTTTACAGGATCAGGACTGGAAGCAAGCACCAACCTTGAATCTCACTCTTTCAATCACAACCAAACCTTGTGAACAACTAGCAAAGTGCAGTTGCCAGAACTATGACAGAGGGTAGGAATATTGTGCAAATTTTTAATAGCTGCACATAACTTAGTGGTACAGATGGCCTTCTCTTGGGGTTCATGGAATTTCATTGACTTAAGGTCACATACATACATGTATATCGGTATATATAAACTGTGACCAAGGTCTGGAAAATGCGGCCAAGGGCGGCATTTTCGAGGCTGAGGTCACATTTACTCACAATATGGAACCACCCTAAGGGGTTAAATAACTTTTTTCCCCTCTTTCTCAAATCACTTTTATAATTGTTGACCTTTTCCACAAACACATCATGCAGGATTGCAGGATTGCAGGATTCATTGCCATCTTAGAAAAAAGTTATTGAAGTTAACATTTGATTTTTCTCAACTCAGTTTTGCACTTGTTGTTGATTCTTAATTCCATCTCTCAAAGAGTAAAAATACATTGTGACTGGCATTTCTGTTGAAAATTAAGACAGATTGGAAATTTTAATTTGTCTTGGTGCATAATAACGTATTTTTCAGGCAATGTACAGATGTTTATGCCCTCGAAAGTACTTGAATGTTTTAACAAAAATACTTTGTAGGATACAAACACCAGCCAGGGGAATTTGTGTAAATGCTGACAAAGTTAAGGAATGTACATGTACAAAGGAATAACACTTAGAAACAGAAAACATGTACTGTGTTTCTATTGAGTTATAGAAACACGAGTGGAAGTTTGGGAGAAGGAGAAATGCTGTGGGAACACGAGTCACAGATGAGTGTTTCCACAGCTTTTTGAAGTTCTTGTAAACTTTCACAAGTGTTTCTATAACTCGTTAGAAACATGGAGGACACGTTTTCTATTTCTTTTAGACAACACCGTGACGAAAAAAAGGAAAACAACTTGTTAACTTTTATTATCAAAATGTAAATTCTCTTTGCTCACGCCATCATCACGTCAACAGCTCATGCTAGTTTTGTGTTTCCATCAAGTTATAGAAACACAATTTTTAACCAATCAGCATGCGTATTTTCTTAGGACTGTTTTCTAAACTAAAATACAGCTGCAAGGAACATGTGCTAAGGAAGCACAGCCGAAGGTCCTTGAACTGGCAATTAAAAAGTTGTAAACCAAGCCAAATTGCTGAATTAAAGGATATGTAGCAGTCTGTTTTAGGGCAAATCATTCTTTACTGTGGCAAAATGTTTAAGGACTGTAGGCTAGAATGGCAATCAATAACAGGCAAGACTTCACTGGAAAAAGGGAAATTATACATCGTGTTGTTTTGGTGCCACAAGTGGTATTAGGCTTAATTGTATGGCAGTGTAGTCTTGAGGTTAATCCAAGCATTCTGATTGGTTCTTTCTTGGTCAGGATTCTGCCATACAGACCTTTTCCATTGAAATTTTCATTAATCAGTTTTTGTTTTTTGTTTTCAAAAGCCGTCAAATTCCAAACTAGCATTGCCTAGTGCTATATAGTAAACTACTTACTAACCTAGCTTGCTTTAGCTATATTGGGGAAATATTGGCCCTCAGTTTTTCTTGTAAGGATTTCGCTGCACTTGACAGTACTGCCACAACCTTGGGCCAATATTCCCAAGTATGGCCCTTGCACTTGGTTAGTAAGAAGTTAGTACATGTATTTTCTGGTTAAGGCTTCTACATGTAGTTTAAGGTTTTATTAGGATGCTTGTTGTCCTGTATTAATGTCTTCCTTGAAATACTTCAAATCCTACTTGTACATGGGTCATGGCAAACAGGGAGAGGTAGTTTTCAGAATGTACTATGGAAAATGCACGAGGAACACTGTACATGCACGTTGTACCAAACATGCTGATTTTGTGGTTATAGGCAGACTGTGAAAATTGTTAAATGTCTCTTTTACAGTTCTGTGAAGCAAGATGTAATAACTGATGTGGCTAAGGAGAAGGAGAGGCAGCAGCTTTGGGTAAGTTAGATTGCACCGCACTCTTACACAGATATTAATTTCGGAAGGTAATGTTATTGACATTCAGCTGAAATTGGTTCAGTTGGCCTTAAGACTGGCCATAAAATTCAAGTGAGGTTGAAGTCTCAAGATCAAGCAAACTCGAAGTTGAATGGCCACCTTTGCTGGCGGTTGGGGCATCTGTTTGTCTGAGCAACTTTTGTAGCCTATTGATATTTTGCTTTAGAGTGGCAATTTGATCCTTGAGACTGTCATTTTCCTTCTTTAGTGAACTGACAGTAACCGGCATGATGAGAGGTCAAACTTTGCAAAATTCAGATAAAAATGAAAAAGAACAAGTCCACACATGCGTTCTGCAGTTGTTTGATGATTATTTTTTTCAAGTAGACCTTTCTATTCCCCTTCTGTATGAATGACCAATACCGCACCAGAAAGAGGTTAGAGTGGACTGGTATTTCATGAGAGGTGCGACATTTGCCCATCAGTTGTGAACAAAATGGCTGCCAAAGTAATTAACTGATCGTTTGCATTTAAAGTGGAACAATTGCTCCCAAATTAAAGACTATTTGCCCAAATGTATTTTATGAACTTGTCTGTTTCAAATATCATGAGTTGCCTTATAGAGCCTTTGATTTGTATTGAACATTACTCTCATTTAGAGTTTTTCTTTTGTACTTTTCTTGGCATAGTAGGTTTGGTGACTAATAAAGGAAAAGTGGTCATTTGGGGTTTTGTTTGGTAATTTATGGTAAATTTCCTCTTTTTTTTGTCTACAGTGTTGTTGGGGTGAGGTTCGGAACATTGTCCGATGTATTTACAGAGAAGCTGGAACATCTTTAGCGGGTAAATTGCCACTTTATGATTCATTGTTATCTAATTACTTATTTATTTATTTGCTGATAACTTTTGCCAGCCTTATATTTTTTGTTTGTTTGTTTGTTTGTTTGTTTTACATTATTTTGATGTGAAAAAAAAATCAGTTGGAGAGGTGACATTATAATATTTACACGTGTTGAATGCAATATAGTCATATTTTGTGGAGCTTGATTAGAAAGCCACAAGTAGTGTTTTGTTCCGGGGATGTGACAATCATTACAATAGCGCAATACCTAAGTTTCTTGCCATAATTATTTTTGAAAGAAATACATACAAATAACCACATTTGTTTACACACCTTAATGTAAACACTTTAAAGAGTTTGAGAGATCTTGAAATTCTCTTGGGTGCACAAACGTTAGAGTTCTCATAATCACATGCTCATGTTTAGTTGAAAATATTGTAAGTAAATTTTGTTGATTAATTTATTTAATGGTTTTACAGAAAAACTGAAACCTGTATAATGAACTACCATTGATTTTTTTATGATTATGTCTACTTATACAGTACATGTATGTGCTAATGTGTTTTGTATTGTGCCCTCTTTGTGCAATTGATTATTTTTCAACCGGGGAATATTTTGTACTTTTGGTAACATTTTAGATGAGGAGGAAACAGTGAAGAATTCTCTAGATGAAAACAGACTCAAAAGCAAAGTAGAAAAGTGAGTATCAACCAGCTGTTGATTTGGAGAGATTTCTGGCTGTTGGGTGTGATTATGTATATACTCTGTATTTGTCATCAACCATCTCCAAATGATAGACTTGTGTACCACACAGTATGTGAAAAGCATGAGTACCTCTGTTCATAATGATTCATTTGCTGTATGACTGCAACCACATTGTGCTTTTTAGGTTACTAAAGAGTGACCCAGCTCAGTTGTTTGAAAAGCTTGAAATTCAAGCAAGGTATGTACATGTGCCTACATGAGTAGGGTTTGTTTGGGAGGGGGGAGGTGGTTGTTTGTTCTTGGTATGGTTTTTATTGATACAAGTCATCTTAATAGTATTCCATTCAAATGCATGCCTGCTTTTCTATTAAAGAGTCAACCAATCTTGAAATCAATCAAACTTTATTTAAAAGAGGTTAGCACATAATAGTTTGTAAAGAACAATTAAAAGTTGATAAAAAGCCTAATTACCGGTATGTAAAATTCCAATTAAAAATCGAAACATTTATAAGATCATAATTTAAGATTTGAATTAAAAGGCAAAAGTCTGGAATACAAAAACTGTTAAATGGTCTTCTTAAAATGAAAGCAGGGAATCTTTTAATGAAGTTTTTAGGACATGTATATTTAACCTGTGAATTGCTTTAAGCAAGTTACAGGATGTTGCGTTGGATCAGATTATGCAAATTAGGGGTTCGTCAATCATCTGCTAACTTCCCATCGCATTTCTGCTGTTTTGTGAGTGTATGTATATCATTTGACATCTCTAGGACAAGTTGTTACATAACTGGGAGTGTTGCACTAAAAATGGAACTATTAGTTCTAATAACTCAAATTAAGTGGTTGTTAAAACGTCTGGTTGATTTGTTGATCAGAAGAAATGTAGATGGAAGCTTGTGTTAAAAATTCTGGTTCATTTGTTGACCAGGGAAATAAATGTAAATCTCAATTGTGGAGGCATACATGTGCATCATGCAACAGTGACTTGAAAAACGAAAAGGTTCGCTTGTATCTGTCAACATTGTCTTGCAGTGTTGGTAAACAGCTTTGAAATAAATTTTCTGCTGTGGGCATGAAGTCCAGAGAAAAAAAATCTTTGTGTTATTTTTTATTGTCAGAATCATTATTTTCAGTTTCAAAGAGCTTTGGTCATTGCTTACTGTAATTTTTTCTTCTTTAAAACAGTGTTTTTCTATGAAAAGACTAATTTCGTATTATGCAAAAGTTAGCTCATCTCAATCATCATTCACTTGGAAATTCAGAGGTTTGCTCATATCAAACTTTCTTGATTACAGGGAATATGTACGAGAAGTAAAAGTACGCCTTGTTAAATACCTGACATCGTGCCCCCTGTCCCCAAACCATGCCAAGGAATTTTTTACTATGTTACTGGATGAATATCAAGCACTTTCAAAGGCGTTTGACATTCTTAGACCGTTTTTCAGCAAACTGGTAAGACAATTTTTTTTGTAGCACACTTTTCTCTCTTATACATGATCTTGGGTTTAGTAGTGGCCCAATTAATGGTCTGGTATGATTACAGATGTGAGTTCAGCTCTTCAGTTGTCATTTTAAAATGCATTTTGTCAGTTTTTAATATCTTTGAGACAAATCTCAGACATACATGTAGAAAAATATTATCCAGCATTACTAAACACAGTTTGTACAACCCAGAAGATATCAGGCAGTGTGATTGTTGACATTGCTAACATTAAATCGATATACATTATTTTCTTCTGTCTATTGCATAGGATTTTGACCATCTAAGAGAGTTTGGTTTGAGCTGGGACCTCCTTCACAAGCACTTATTTTACACTGAAATATACCGAGATCCAGCTGTTTATAACAATCTTCCTGGGCTTATTACGCAGCTGAGGTACGTTGTGTACACTATGCAAATGATTATGTTTGGTCCTGGTAGTTTTTGATGTTCTTTGTTCTACAAGCTTTACCACAACGCTTTGTTTTGGGTTGGTTTTGTAGATTGGGTGCTGTTGCAAGAGAGAACTTCCACCAAGACACATTCCCAAACTTACTTCACAGGTAACATGTGATTTATATCCATACAAGGAATATTATTTTTGTGTGGGAGCTCAGAATTTTTTCGTAGTAACTTGTGTCACACCACAGGTATCCCAACCTCGTAAAATTAGCTCCATTGAACAAATTGACGTCAGTTTTTCATTCGTCTGTCCTGTTATTGATCATGAATTTCGTCATAACATTGTCAAAGTAGCTGTGGATCCATGAGTTATGTTATGACAAAGTTCATCGTCAATAACAGGACAGACACATTAAAAACTGCCGACAATTTGTTTTTTACGATAACGAAGTGTCAAGTTGTCCGCTCTCACTCGTTGACGCACCACATAAAATATAAATTCATGTGTCTGTCCACCTATTGACAATAAAAATTAGCCAATGAGTGCGCAAGAATTTCTGCAGTTATCGTAAAAATACATGTACATGCAGTAGTAGTGTACCCAGGTTGTGCAACAATTGAAGCATAATGATTAGGGAAAATGGTTCTATTCTAAGTCTAAAAAATATGAAGAAGTATGAATAAAAATAACCCTACTTTGCATCTGGTGTGTGTTCCGCTGCTTTGTGTGAGATTTCTAGGCCAATTAATGGCCATTTAGGTAGTTTTTAGTTTCACTGCTTTGTCGTTTACATACAGAGGCTGATAATGGCATTGCCTTGTTTCACCAAGCTTATCATATACCATATTTATTATATAAACACGAGTGTTGTACTGGAAAATACACCACTGGTAAACACGGGTGGTATATTTTCCATATCCTCACTGGTGAAGATATCGATGATTTCACTGATACCAAGTTTGATTGTACTTAAATTCGTTGCTGTATGATCCAAACATCTTCGGGTCTTCCTCGAAAGTCTTCGGCAATCTTCGGTAATCTTTGGAAATTTTCGGAAAATGTTCTACAACATTTTTGTGACCTTTGGATAAGCTTTGGAGACTCTTCGGAAATCTTTGGAAGGGTGGTCGGAAATCTTTGGAAAATCGTTCCTGCCACTCAAACATAAAATTGATATCTTCTCACCGCCGTGTAGTATCCTTTATATACTGATTGTCAATTCTTTCCACAAGAATAACTTTGTTTTCATTTCTGTGCAAAGGTACCTAAATTTTACAGACGATCTCACGGAGATTGAGTTTTCGTGGAAAGAAAGTGAGCGAGCTTTCAAATTGTATAAAGAGAAACAGGTTAGTGCAAAAAACAAAAACACTTCTTGTTGAGTTTGCTCATCTTTTTGTACAGTTTGCTACAATACTACACGTACTTATACCAGTTGCTTGTGTAGTAGTGTCATGTAATTTTTCATTGTTAGGCAAAACTACGAGAAAAAAGTGGAATAGCAAAAGTGGAATGGGAGGATGATTCAACAGGAGTGGAGTGGAAAAATAAGATAGGACAGGTCTGTACTTTGTTTGAACTAAAGGCAAAAAATTTGAAATGCAGTAGATGTTTTCAGTTACTTGCCAATTAAAGCTGTGCAAGGAAATCCTCAAAAAGTCCTGGTTCATCGGGATTCAAACCCATGACCTTCATTCTTCCAGTACAACTGCTCTGCTTCTACACCCCATGTATGAAGCCATTGAATTGAAGCTGGTCACGTTGTTTTAAATTTCCCATTGAGTACAGTATCTACAAGTAGGTTCTGATGTTCCTGTGCAACATTTCCCATCCAAGCAATTTTGCAAGCAAACTTCCCCTCCCCCCCACCTACTCCACCAGCTAGAACTTTGGCAAGCTCGTTGTGTCAAGTTATATTACCCTTATTATTTGTTTCTCTTGTGTTGCAGGTGTTAAAAAATCCTGCGTCTCAGAAGTGAGTCATGATTTCTCCTTGACACTATGTATTCAAAGTTGTGTGTTATGCAGTGTTTTTTCCCAAAATAATTATATACATCTTATTTGCCGGCCAGGAGGTCCGTATTGGGAAAAACTGTTCCTGAGGTCTTGAGTATGATGGCCTCAGGCCATACTCAAGACTGAGGGTACATTTTCCCAATACGGACTGACTAAGGCCAGTAAATAACATGTTTATTTTTTCTCTACGTTATTGCTTTGAAAGCAACTTTTGTGTTAAGTTTTAATTCAAGCCGTTTTGTTCAAATCTAGCATATGCATGCATTTGACATTTTGGGCACAAAAAGCGATAAAAAAGCTTGAAAACTTGTCGAAAAAGTTTTGAATGTGTACATTTTACTGGGCCACTTGGCTCATATGCATACTTGACCTTTTACTGTCTTTTTTTTCTCATGACATAGGTGTCAGTGTGGTCACTGCAATGTTCCATCGTCACCCTTGAACTCACCAGTACCCATGCTACCACCTTTCAAATCAGCGACTTCGCACACAAAAGTCTGCAGCCATGCCTCTGCGGCACCCACTCAGAACACAGCTGGTAAGGCTCAGTGGACGAACCCAGTACCAAACTTCAATCCTCACCTGCTAATGTGTAATGACCTCCATGGGATACCACCCGCGCTGCTGCCGCCTCCTCTGATGATGAATGGCCTGGGAAGTGCTTGTCACTGCCCAGTTTGTAGCAGTACTACTGGGTATAGGGATGGAGGAAAGACCACGGAGCAGGTACAATGTACTGTGGTGCTGCTTGTAGGAGACAATAGTCAGGGGTATCATTAACACTGTCAGCAGGAGGGTAACTGGTTTTCTCACAGGCACTCAAGCCTTTTTGAACTGAACTTCTTCATAAGAAAATCTTTCTCTAGATGGTTAAACCAGTCAGACAAAATCAACCTCACAGCTGGTCAATTTGCCCTGTGCCTGGCCCTTAATGAAACCCTTGCATAGTGTGTATTAATGTGTGTGTGTAGAAGAAAGTGCAAACTTCAGACAAGCAAGCATTATGATATGTAAGGCAAAACAGTTCAAGTCTTGCAGTGTAAGTGACAACTGATGTAGCTGGTCGATCAAAAGCAGAGAAATGCATTACGAAGATGTTGTAAACTGGTGTATAGCTTGAAAGTAACGTAAATTCTCATTGTACCCAAAGAGGGCTGGTTTGGCCAACTGAAATATAGTACACTAAATTTTTAAATCATCCTACATTGTTGTATCAGTCTGCGCTTTTATATTCTTTATCCTGATTAGATCACTATTGATCCAACGTATACCAGCGGGATTATCGTCAGCGGTTGCTTGCTCAAACATTTACTAGATATGTTTGCCTGCTGAATTTGCACCATTTGTTTTGTGTTTCTTTTCTGGATTTGTTCAGTGAGAGTGACATGGCTTTAGAAAAGGTGTTATGTCTAAAGTGAGTCTGTGTGCGGACCTCCACTGTTCTCCATGCAGTCAAATCGCAAATTTTCAACGTAAAAGGGAACCTGTACAAGTACATGTGAAACCTGTATTAAGCGGACACGTTCTATTAAGTGGATACACGCTTGACTTCCAAAATTTTCTTCCTACATTTACTGTAAAATAAACCTTCATTCAGTGGACACCTCTGTTAAGCGGACGCGGACACCAGTATTAAGCCATTTTGCTGCACAAAACCTGCAATAAGCGGACACTTCAAGGGCTTTTTACTTCTGAAAGCTCAACCCAGACTCCTTTAACGTTGTTCAGTGATGTCGTTTTAAAGCTAAGTAGATTATTTCAGATTGGTACACTGATTGACTGGACATTGTGCTATGAAAAGTCTTTGATCTTACACTGTGTTACACTGAGTTACAAAAGGGTTAATAATTAAAGATCATTACACAATGTATTAGAACCTACTTAGAGCGGACACCCTGTATTCAGCGGACACTAGTGAGTGTCCCAAGGGTGTCCACTTAATACAGGTTTTACTGTACATGTGCGTTTTTAGGCACACTACTATACTTTAGAACAAGGAAATTAAAAGAATTATTCCTTTTCCATCCAGCCTCCAAGTGGTAAGATGGCCGACTGTCAGTGTAGCAAGTGCCCTTTTCATGGTGCGAAGGATCAGGAAACAAGACTAAAGGCTGAAAACAAGAACTTCACCACCCACCCCTCCCCTGCAATTCACACTCCCCCTCCTAACAACAACCATATTCACAGCAATCATCTTCATCCACACCACATCATACCCCCTCCCCCAACATCCCTGCACTGCTCCTTAGAGGGCCCTCCTCCGGATCTCCATAGCTTCTTCCTGGACAGCAGCCTCAAGCACGTCAATTATAATGGTTACCATAACAACTTAGATGGTTGTACTGAAATTGATGATGAGGATAACAGTTTGAGTGACAGCAACAGTGATTACGATGATGAGGATGATGAAGACGACGACGATGATGATGACGCAAGCAGTTGTTCTCCACGGAGAACAAGCCAGTCTTCAGGTGTGGCATTTTGTTTAAAAATTACCCTCCTTGCTTAATTTTCACACAAAAAAGAGTATATTACTTGCCAAAAATATAACGGACAAAAAAAAAAGTGTCCGAAAATAAAACCGTCTTGAATTTTTAAGCGTCCGAAATATTTACAGTACCATACAAAACTTTTAAATATCTCCAAAGCTCTTAGTTTCCGTTATTGAGCGAACTCTAGCTGAGACACTGCTTAAGATACGTAATGCCTTGATAGCATTTGTATTATTTTCTCGTCGGTGTATCTGTAAAACCTTCAGGGTGTAGTAAAACTATCATTTTCACAGATGTGTTTCAGTCTAATTCGTATCTTGTTGGCTTAAATTTTCTGTAGCTATCTTTCAGCAAAGTGTCCTAAATAAGTCCGAAATGAGATAAAAAGTGTCCGGAATTAAACATCCGAAATTTTTTTTGCAAGTAATGTGTTCCCTTGTATTTGTCATGGTAGGTTATTTAACTGCCATGTGTCTGTTTTGTTTAGACATCGATGGTTTGGGACTTGATGTACCCCCCGGGTCCCCCTCTAGTGTGCGAAGCAGTGGAGACGGCAGCTCATGTGACACGCCACCTGTCAATCAATGTTCGTCATCAACGGAGGACGGTCGGACGGACCGAGGCAAATACTGTGACTGTTGTTACTGTGAATTCTTCGGACACGCTGCGGTAAGTAGCAGGCATATTTAGTATAAATTGTTTTATGTCAAACAGGGGAAATCTATTGGTTAGGAGTTTGTCTTCATTGTTGACACGAATCATAAAGAGTTAGTGTTTGGTCTGCTGTATTTTCCTGTTTTAACTACTTCCTCTTTCGCTCTTTTAGAGTGAATAGGCCCTTTGCAGGATCCGGTCACATGGTACTGAATTAATTACGCTGGGACGCAACTTACACAGTGGGACTTCCAAAACAAAGGAAAGTCGGGCTGGACTGGAACGAGTTCCTTTGTTTTGGAAGTCCCACTGTGTAACTTGCGTCCCAGCGTAATTAATTCCGTACCATGTGACCGGATCCTGCAAAGGGTCTATTTCACCTCTTATCCTATAGTAATAGATGTTTGTTTATAAGGAAGCAATTGTTTTTACTTCCTCGTTCTAGGCGTTTTTTTTTAATTCTGACATCATGCAATCGTTAGTCAGAAGAAAGATCGTATGACGAACCACGGCATGTCAACGTCGATGAATTTTGTTCATTTCCTGGTGGAACGTTTTTTGATTGATGAGCCTGTGGTTATATTTTTCAGCCTCCTGTGGCACCAACCAGTCATAACTACACTGAGATGCGCGACAAGTTAAGACTTCGACTCAACAAACGGCAGGTGAGATTTCACTTTTAATGTAACGTATCGAAGAGCTTTATGAACACTGTCTTCTTCAAGAATAGCCTCTACCCATTGCAGTTTCAGCATTTCTCGACAAACAGATGTGACTGCAGATGTCACTTTTCTCAGAAGTTTATAAACACTCTGTCTTCTTCAAGAATAGCCTCTACCCGTTGCAGTTTCCGCGTTTCCCGACAAACAGATGTGACTACAGATGTCACTTTTCTCAGAACTGTTTAAACACTCTGTCTTCTTCAAGAAATATAGATTACCTCATGGAAGGTGCGCGCGTACGGTATTTACGCAAGAGTTGTTGACGTATCAGAAAACGAACGAGTGAGCGTAGCGAACCAGTGAGTTTTCTGATAAAAAAACAACGGGTGCGTTAATACCGTACAAAGCACTTTCCATTATTTTATCCTTGCTAAGACCTTCACCCTCGACCAGATTGTTGCCCTTCATTCGGCAGAACAAATGTCAAGTTATGTTTTATTCCGTCTGAGTGCAAGCACTTTGTCGCTTCTTCAAAAACCTACTGTAGATATTTTTCGTACAGAATGTTTACCTCGTTATCAGTCAACGCTTCAGCTGCGTTTGATTCGTTTCCTTTGGCTTTCCTTTTTTTAAGTCGTTTGCCTCGAGCTTCCAGACATTTCCTTGCTTGGTAAAATTCTTTGTCGTCGATAATGCTTACGGCATATTTGTCTTCTTTAAAACTTTTCTTGCCTCTTCCTTCTGTTTGAGGAATTTGCTAAGCAAGCTAACTCTCGTCGGGTTTTTGCCCGACTCTTTTTGTTCTGCTGTTCCTCGATGTACTTTTTAATGGGTTTACCTAAAGCGATAAACCTGTTCGAACTTTCCGCCATTGTCTGTGGTTTATAGCTAATTTGCGAGAAAACTGGAGTAAACTTGAGGAAACTCTACAAACTTCTGTGAATGAAGATTGAAGAGGCGCCAACAACAACGTGAACGCGTTGCGAACTGACCGATTCATTTTGACAGCTGATTTCTGATTGGATGAAACGCTTTTCCCAAGAGTGGGACAGTCGTTTTGTGATTGTGATTGGATGAAGAAATTTCCGTATGAGATTTTCGTGCGATCGATTCTATCCGAAAATCTCAGTAAGTATGAAATGATAGCCTCTACCCGCTGCAGTTTCAGCGTTTCTCGACAAACAGATGTGACTACAGATGTCTTGTATCCTAGAGCTTTATGAACACTCTGTCTTCTTCAAGAATAGCCTTAGTTTCAGACAAGGATACCCTCACTGCAGAATAACCTTGGTATAGTTTCAGCGGAGGCTAACTATAACTCGATTTATCCCATCATTTCCACTTCATGAATTCTCCTCCTGCGTATGGTGTTTGTTCAAATTTTGGTCTAAACCACGGTCGGGACATGTACATGTATACTGTAGATTTAGCTCTGTTAGAAGAGCGGTGGGCCTAATTTGGAAAGAAATTGGTTTATTTATATGGCGGCAGGACCACAAAATACGTCTTCAAATACACAGTAAGATCCTCTTGGCTACGTGGATGGAAGTTCGACACAGCATTTCTCCCAGTAATCTCACCCATTAATATTACCAAAGGTACAAGAAGCCACAACATGAATCCCAGTTTTGGTGATGTGTTCTGAGACCACTTAGTTAGTTCATCCAAATCCTGATTCTCCTGTGAAGTGCTCCTGTTGTTTTCTTTGGTAATTTTTCAAGTTAAAGAGTGATTGCTTCGTTCAAGTGTGGTGAAACTTTTGTTGTTGTTTTTTCTTTCTCAGCCTCATCAGCCGGTACAGGAGAAGAAAAAGTCGTCTGCAAATGCAACTGTGGTTGATCACCGCTCAGTGGATGACCTTCTGACGTTCATTAACGGGCAAAAGATGGAGGAAGAAAGACTGGCTACAAAGTCAAAGGCACAGAAAAGAGCGCGACAAAAACAAAAGAAGGTGAGTGTGACATGAAGTCATTCCTGCGCATGCGCCATAGCCAACAGACGTACCTTGTCACGTGCCCATACCAGTCCTCAGCTGTAGGGAGAGAGACGTCTGAGATTCCATTTTGATGACGTGGAAATAAGGAATCCATAGTGTCTGTCTCGCTGATTAGTTCTTGCTAACGCGCGCATAAAGCGGGCTGAATTTCTGTTAATAAGAGTGAAGCAACCAATGGAAGGTGCCACATGGATTTACGTAGTGCTGTGTCGCCACTGTCGTATTTTCAGCACTTCTTTCCCGTCGAGAAAGGCCTGTGTCAAAACCTCTTACCCTACTTTGCATTTGAACTACCAAGATTTTTGCTGGTTACTGTTGTCCGTTACTGTCTGACGGACTTTTTTAATGCTTTCTTTTCAGGCCGCTGAGAAGGCTAAACAGACTACGACCTCTAAAACTCTAACTGAAAACAAAATTGCTTCTTCCTCCTCCAATGGTTGTGAGAAGGTCAATGGGGTTCATCACAATGGTACCAGCGATGTACTAAGAAACAGACAGCTGTCAGAAGAGAGACGAAAACACGAAATACCAAATACAAACAACGTCAAAGAACGTATAGACGGCAAATCAGGTCAGCGGAGGAAGGCAGAGGAACAAAAGCACAAACAAGCGGAGGTCCCAGACGAGGTCTGCAAGTCACGCAAGAAGCAAAATCATGCACATGAAGACGTCATGGTGTCACGCCAGGTATCTAAAGTGGAGTGTAACGGCAAGGAAAATAATTTCAGCTCGCGAAGGAAGACTGAGGAAAAGTCGGAGAAAAAGCGGCAGGAATCTGTGTCTCCTGATCCTCCTGCTCCGGTGTGTAATCACAAAGAAGAAGGGCAAGATAAAAGTGACAACAGCTGCCGGTTACCCCAGAAGAAACAGGGAAAGAAGAAGAAGAAGGTCTCATTAGGTGAGAAACAGCAAGTTAAGACGGTAAATATGGAGAATTAATTAAAATATTGCTCATTACACTAACAGGCAAATTCTCGCTATCTCATTGGCTAGTTTCCATGATATAACAGAGGAGAACGATGAAAATCGTAGGTGCACTGTTCGTCAAGGCTTTGCTTACTTTTAACATACATTATCAAACACCCTTTGATATTTGAACAGTTTTTTTTTTTTCCAAATTGCACTAGAAGAAATGTGTGGAAACCTGGAGGAAAATTCTCAAGGCGTACATTAAGTTGTTTAGCATTCTGTTGTCGAAATTTTGCTGCCTGTGCAATAATGGTTATCTTACGTATCTTTTGTCTCTCTTTGGTATTTGTCTGCGTTTTCGTTTGTTTGACCTATTTTCCTATTCTTCACTCAGATGACGTTTTCTTGCCGCGTGAAGACATCGAGGTAGGTTTTTCCAGTCATCATGTCGCATTTAAAAATGATAAAAGATGATTGGTTTCAGAATGTTATCGCCTTCGTTCTTATTCTTTGAACTGTTATGCTGCGGGATAACAACATGCATAATGAAATTCTGTGTGGGCACGTTTTCCTTTCCTTCCCCTTCCTACTGCCTCTTAGCCTCACCCCACTCCTTTGGTGTACTTTTTATCTAGCCTAAAAAGTCCGTTCGTCTTCCTTCACTGTTCCCTCCACATCAGACTAAACTGCCGCTTATAAGCCCCTCCGGTTATAACCCCCCCACCCCCACCCCCACTCGGATCTAAACGTCCCTCTAGCTTTCCTTGTTTTGAATTCGTTTTATTATGATGATTTAAAGCTTAATTACCAGTACATGAAAAAAAGCTATTTCGATAAACATGTGCAGCTATAGCTCGTTTCGAAACGGGTGTTTTTTTATTCTGGTTATAAGCCCCCTCGGATACAAGCCCCTCCGTTTATATGCCCATCCAAACCCCTTACGAATTTGTATAAGCCCAGAGCTTATTAGCAGTAGTTTACGGTGTATGTACTCTCCGTTACGGGACAATCGAGAGCATGGTTGCAAAGTAGACTTAGATCATTGCATTGCGTCTCGCTCTTTCTAGACTGACAAGCTCACCCAGATGGATGAAGCCGAGCGAGAACTCGAGGAGTTTAAAAGGTAAGTTAGTAGTATAATAAAGTGTCTGCCTAAGATGCGCAGTTTTATCAGTTAACGAGCTCTGACGATACCATCTCAAATTGCTGGTCAATTTTAAGCAGTCAGTCTAAATGCGCTCGTCTCCGGATCGAGCGGTCCGGGTCTGAGCCCTGGCCGTGGACATTGTGTTGTGTTTTTGGGCAAGTCACTTTACTCCCACCGTGCCTCTTTCCACAAAATGGGTGCGATGGACTAGCACCCCATCCAGGGGGGAATAGAAGCACTCCTATTCGCTTCATGTTACAGAAACCCGAGATAAACGCCGGCCTGATGGGCCACTTGGCTCGTATGCAGACTTCACCCTACTTACAGTTCTTGAGGGCAATTTCGTTCCTAATCTCCTCTGCAGCCGGTTTTTTTTTGTGTGTGTGTGTGTGTGTGTGTGTGTGTGATGTCACGCAACGTTGCGTTGCTCTGAAGGGGACTATTTCGTTCCCAGAGCTGCAAAAAGACCTTGGTAAGGAGACGACTCCCTCGGCTGCTTTCTTCAGCCGACCGATAGTTGTTAACCTTTCCTCTCTTTTTCCGAGGATGAAAACCTGCAATATATAATTTACAGAAGACAGGACTGAAACTTATGTTACATGTTTCTTTTATCTAATCCTTTCTAGATTTTGCATGAATCTTACACCCGTGGAGAGAAGAGAGCGTATCCCCGTGAATGTTAACCTCAAGGGCCTCCTGAGCGGCAAGAAAAATGGTTCCTCATAGGTGACGTTTCCTATCTGCTGCTGCAGCCCCTGACCGACGCGGCCCTTCGTCCTCGTTAGTTCTGTTGCGTCGAGGTAGCCTGTAAATTGGTTGTGCCGGTTTATCCGGAGTAGTAAGACAGAGGAAGGGATTCCTCGATGCGATCCGTTTTTTTCATTTCAATTTAATCGAATGCACAGAGAATTATATTGCCAAATAAAATATCTATTTAGTTTCGTGAAGTTTTTTTTGTTAGCCTGTGTTTTATTGTGATCTCAAGTTTGTGTTTGTTTTCTTGCTATCTTCTCTGGTCTGTACGTGACAGAAACCTGTCCTCGACTCTTCATGACAGAAAGTGCCATCTGCCTTTATTTGCATTTTCACGGGAACTTTCATTTTGCATTTTCATGGGAAAGAGTGTTGCTTTTCAAGAAAGAAAATTCCGGCGTTTTAAAACTTGAGGGCCATTTTTTTTATAACAAAAACACGCGACGACGACAAATTTAGCTCCTTAAAGAAATCGCGCGCTGCAGGTGCAAAACAAGAATTTGTGTTTATTGCTCATCCTGATTGTGTCTTTTTACGCGTGTTAATTCATTGTTATCTGTTCATCTCAGAAACAGAGACAAATTTGACGGTGTTGCGTTTACATAGTGCTCAGGTTGTTGACACCTTTAAATATTGTCATTAGCGGCGGGTTTTGATCAATTTAGATTTCAAACCGTTCGTGTAAGAAGTCTACTTGGCCTAAACCAACCTCTTGGGATGTTCACTGTCTTGTTGGAAACGTTTATTGAATCGATCATTCGAAAAGGTATGTTCATAAAGACTTTTACCGAAAAAGGGAATGCTAAAATGAGATAACGAGCTATGAGTAAGAGAGATTTTGGGGTCTTCTCCACTCGCTGCATTCAGAAATCAGGACGAAATAGGCCGTGTTCACCAATTTCAAAGGCGGCAAGCTGTTGTAACTCGCGTGCAAGTTAAAATATGCAAATAGCCTAGCCACCCCAATGACACATGGCGTCCCCAGTCACGGGAAATTGCATTGGAAGTCTCATTCAATTGGTGATCTGAAGTGAATATTAAGCTATCAACGAAAGTCCATTAGGACGCACCTTGACTGTTTTTATTTTATTTTGTCCAAAGAAAATGTCCAGTTTTTTTTTTCATAGAGTCCATAGAGATGATAAGTCGTGAAATATAATAGTTGCCTTAGCGATCTTTATTAAACATTCATTTGAATATGAAAGATTGGTCAGTTGGCATCCTGAAATATGAGGTGACAAAAGTATCCCTTCTAGGCCCAATTACTGAAAATTGCCCGTTTTACTGCTGGATAATGTTTCGGCCTGGTCCGAATCCTCTTTAGTAGAGCACATTATCTCTTAATTTCCTTTTTGTATGTGTACCATAGTTGATTATTATTCAGTATTTTTATGATAAATTTTTGTTAAGTTGCTCATGTCCCTAGGCAACCAATCGCTTACCCGAAAGTTTGAAAATGACTGCTTCGTCAGATTTTCTGCATTTCTTTCTTGCATATTATCTTATTTCCAAAAATTATCAACACCAAACGTTTCAGTTCTCCTCAGTGCCAGCTTTCGATTTTGTTTAGTAAATTAGAAGGTTCCTTATGCGGGGTAACTTTTCTTCGTAGAATTTAGCAGAGGTAAAGACCTTTGCGTCACTTAGTAGGATATAATTTTGTTTTATGGTTAGCACAGGGTTTGGAATATTCTCGACACTACAAATATAGTTTTGGTGCGCAGCGTGCAAAATGTCGGCTAGACATGCTGAAACGTGGTGGTACGTGCGTTACAATGTTCAAACTGCCCAAAAAAATTAATAGTTTAGCCAGCACTCCTGTTACCCCCAACAGGGGCTTTTAAAGTCATAATTCTCCTTACTGGGATATCGTAGGAAACGAAGTTCTCCTAACTAGATTTATAAGAAATCTATGGGAGATATGTTCAGAGAATTTGTAGGCTGACACTTACAAGAGAGAGAGGATAGTGCGCTCTATAGGCCTCAGTGTTAACGGTGCTAAACATATACAACGGATGGACCATTACGTTTTTGCAGGTGGTGGTCAAATATATACCAAACAAAATCCTGTACAAGAAAAAGCCAGGGAAAAAATACAAAACGAGCTACGAAAAAATAATAATTAGGAACAAATAGAAAAGAAAACTCGTGCCGCGCAATCTGAATTTAGAAAGGTCAAAATTCTTGCACGCGTCCAGCTCTCCACTCCTCAAAAAATATGGCTAAGCGCAGCGGTTGACGTAAGTACGGATTGCAGTTTCAGTTTCTTTGAGTTCTTGTGAAACCCCTTCAGCAAGATGCTAGTAATTATTTTCTGTCGATTTTAAAAATCCATTTTTGGTGGTGATTGTAATTAACTGAGACCAATCTACAACGGAACAAGCGTAACAAAATCTCTTAGAGCCCCAATGCCACTTCCGTTAGACAACAGGAGTTGTAACCTAATATTAAAACCCAGCGGATGCCTATTTTTGGATTAACGAGGGAAAAAAACGTTTCGAAACACACTCTGCTCTTTGACCGTTCTGTTATTAGTTTGCCGCGGATGATTGGACTACAGAATGGTGTCTGCACGCTTCAAGAAACGCTTTATAGCCCTTGTGTTCCTTGGTAGCATTGCAGTGGTGTTCCTTTACAAAATCCAACAGCAACGCAGCGACTACATCGCCGGTGTTTTCAAGCAAACACAAGATTTTTCTAGGTGAGTCCTCTGCACTAGGTCGGTGAAATATTGTATTGCGTGGCTCGTAGCCCATCGCAGAGTTTCAGTTCGTATCATTGCCACCTTGATGGTTTTCTGGTTGCAAGCAAGGCTTACAGCTCGAAGGCTGACGCTGAAAATCGTTCTGTCCTCTTATCGGCTGTTATCTTGGCGCTTGCCGAAGCTCACATTGGGATCATACGTTTTCTCGATTCATTGTTCGATTGAATCTGTTCACATCCGTTGATTCATGGCTTAAATGTCCCTCTGAAATTTCCATTATTTAGTTCTCCGTTTTGTAAACCATCCTCAATTTAGTGTTTTGAGAAAATTCTTTTAGTTTCCGGTGTGGAGATCACGAGCTTGCCAGCGGGGTAACCGTACCGGCTGCCAAACGCGCTTTATAAATTATTGGAAACCGCGTTAGTGTCAAAATATGCGATTTATTTAACGCCTGTGCGTGCGTGCCTCTTATATATGTTTCAATATCAGATCGATTGTGGCTCAGACAAAATTGCTTAAGAGTGTAAAATGCTGACGAAACTACAGAAGGGTTTAACTTGTGGGGAAGAGGGGTGGGGTGGGACGGGAAGATTTTAACCGAGGAATTGCCGAACAGAGTTCGGGAAGAGTTGATCAAACAATTCCCTGATTCTTTTACTTTGTTTTGTTTTGTTTTTTTTTCATTTTCGTTGTCCGAGAAGCGAAATCTGAGAGAGATCGAAAATTATTAAATGGGAAAGGATAGTATTTTGCTCCGATTCTGTGTGTGTGTGTGTGTGTGTGTGTGTGTGTGTGTGTGTGTGTGTGTGTGTGTGTGTGT